TACATGAAGGAATGAGTTCTTTTCCCTCCCCCACACACACCCGTATCGTCACAGGGGGTGACCACAGTGTTCTGCCTTAATTTGTGGCGTTTTTCTAAGAACTGGCTGCCATGTACTGTGCGAAATCAATCGATCTTGCAAGAATAAAATTTGGACATCCCTCTTCTAAGAATTCCAATTGAGTGTGTTAGTGTGGCCAGCTCAGGGCAATATGATATTATAAACACAGCACATATCACGTCTCTGCTGTTTATAACTTCATAGGAAAGAAAACACGCCATTCATAACAGTAGAACGGAGAAACCGCTCGCAAGAGCAACAGGAAATTTGCTGCAAGACAGGCATATGTAACGATGACTTAGCACAGCTAAACTTGTGGCTTATTATACTCTGATCTACTGACAACAGGCCAGCAAAAAATCTAACAATCTACAGCAAAACCATCAATTATTATGGGCGTTATAACATAGGTGTGCAGCTGGACGAAACATTGACGTCGAACCCCCGCAGACGATTTAAATACCTTGACGAAACATACACGTCAAACCACGCTGAACGGTTAATACATTTCGGGAACTTTTGGATTGCACCACATATATATAGTTTGATCTGCAGTGTTTTGGAACATAGATGGAATCACAATTATAAATTAATAGAGTTAAATCCTTTTTTATACATCTTTTCATACACAAGAGCTCCACAGAAGTCCTAGCAAAAAAAGAGCACTTCAGCCACAACCTAACATATCCCAGAAGCATGTATCCACTTAAAAGTCATTATATGGAAGCTGGAGTATGTCAAATCTTACTGACTGAATCTCATGTGCTTCAATGTAATGGTTCACTGTTACCGTCAGTGACAATTAAACAGAGATTCTGCATAATAAGCATATCATCATTTTATATTTTTCAAACTTACACTTTCTATTCAAATGTCTGCATTGCTAACTGTGGGAAATTAAAAATGTGAATGAGAGGTTAAATCAAATGGCATCGCAAAGAAGACCAGAAGCTAATTTTATTCCATTCTTGGTCCATGGCAAAATGTGGGATAGTTTTCTGTGACTGAACAGTTGCCTGGTACTTCCATTGCTCAGAAATATGAACTGGTGCTTAACCACTGCTCAGCGCCTCCGTAGTCTAGGGGTAACTTTCCCACCTCACGACTCAAGGTATGCAGGTTCAAACACAGCGGAGGTCGTGGAATTTTTATGGGCGGAAAAATTCAGGGAACAAGTCCTCCAGGAGGGACTTTAAGCTGTGGGGGTCCCGTGTCATAGCTTTACGGCATGTAAAAGAACCTCATGCCTCAAGGAGGCCTCTGAGCCAAATTATAAGGACATTACCCGCCCAACAATAGTCTCTAACGCCTCTGGTAGATGGGGGAAGCATCTAGATACCGCTGAGCCAGTAGAGGCCGAACTCGCTGGCTGAGTCGGGACTGATGGCACGCACCAGTATCGGTAGGGTATAGAGACTGGTAGAATATCACAGGGGGATGTACAATAGACCACTGGTCGCGGTGCATGGGGAAACCCAACCCTTCCAATAATAATAACAACAACAACAACAACAACAACAACGACTGCTCAATTACTTTATCTTGATGATTTAAACCATCAATTTCTTTGATATGTCAGGAAATCAGCCCAACCCGACATTTTGTTACCACCCAAGAATGGAAGTAAGATTACTTATAAATTACAATGAATGCCCAGATCAAAAGCTATTACATTTACACATGCACATGCATACATACTGCACCGTAACTATTATTTTCCTTATTAAATAAAGAAAGTGGGCTAAGAAAGCATTAAGAACACACCAACCTCCAACATATAAACAAATTTTGGTTTCTCCTTCAGCAATTCCCACAACAATGCTCCATCTCCACCCCCTAGAATGACAATCTCTTTTCCCTCATAATTTTCTTTTCCCCGCTGCATCAGTGTTTCTGTGTAGATCAGATCACTTTCAGACATGTCTGTGGGAAAAACAAAGTATATATAACTGCACTTAAGCAAATGAGTGCCAAAAATATTCAATGACTTGTAGTGATCTAAAATGAATAATACCTCATTTTTTGGTGTTCTTACCACATAGTGGAAAGAATGAATGCAGAATGCAGAGGTTAACTTCTAGCCTTTTACCTGTATGTTTCATCCCCTGACATACTAAATGTATTTCAACTGAATCTAATATTGGAGTTCCATAATTAAAATCTGTCCAAAACTGCCCTTACTTTATGTGAAGCTAAAATCTAACTTTTCCAGAGCTCTGACTTTGCATTATGCCTGTATGCCATCTATGTGCAACGTTCATTACTAATCACTCGTCATTTTTCTTTATTGATACTACTTGTTTTGGCCTAACTGGCCATTTTCAGGTGTACAGGTTGCTGTGACCAAGAAGCTGCTCACTGCAATGCTTTTTTGTTTCCTTTATGTAGAGGCCTTGGATTACATCTGTTATGTGGGTTAATTACCATGATGGCTGACCACCACACAACAAATTCCTGCCCCAGCAAGAGCTAACAAACCAAATAAAGCTATAAGGCAAACACTGCAGCTCAAGGACACAGAAATAAATAAATAAACAAATTGTTAACCCATGTAACCAGATGTGCATTATAGTGAGCAGTAGATACCTTGATCACAACAACCTGTACATTTGAAGATGGTCCCTTAGGCCAAAACATGTAGTGTCAATAAAGAAAAATGAGTGACTAGTAACTGTCATTGCACATAGATGGCATAAAAGCAACACTCAAAGTCAGATCTATGGAGCGAAATAGGATGCTGCAATATAATATTATGATCTGTAGTTTACCACAGTTAGTAATCATACAAAAATTGGTGCATAACATAAGAAACAAATCTCATGAACATCTAGAAATTTCACTGACAGTGTCTTTATATGATGTACATTTGCTGAACTACTGGGAGAAATAACTGCTAGCTGTGCACTGTGATATCTATGATGTGGTTAGCTCTGTAAAAATAGATTCTGTTATCTCCAATGAATGAAAGTCAAAGCCAGTGAAGACACATATATTTATATAAATGCATATTTAATGTTGAAAAGTGAATTCTACTAAACTCTTCAGAATCAGAAATTACTTTTCCTTGCATGTTTAACTCATCATAAGAATGTTCCAAGTAGAGGCTGTACATTTAAGATATATATATCTTGTACAGTGTACCAAATTTCTGTACGATGAATCAATTTGAGGAAACTTAGGAAATTTGGTTTAAGACCAATATAAATAAAAAATATATTTACCTGCTAACTTGTGGTGTAGACAGCAATTATACAATTTTATAACAATCCTGTGTAGTTTCATAGTTCAAAATGTTTATGGGAACTGTGCACAGAAGCCACAAAAATGCCCAATTTAAATCTGCAAAAACTTAATAGTCACCGCCAACAAAGAACATTACACAACGTTTTAATTTATAAATCTTTGAAAAACTGATGCATTAATGCAGGGCTGCACAAATTGTCATAAATCTAGAACCACTGCCAAGAACTAGGAGAATAAAGGGGCTAGGACATGGATAAAACCCACCTTCTACCAATCCTAGGATATGGGTAAAGCTACAAGTAAAGGTTTGTCTGCATTTAATTAATTAAGCATCATGCCATGAATGAATACATATGGGGGGAGTAGCAATATAGCTCCACCATTCTTATCCTTGGCAGTAGATGTAGATCAGCAGTCAGCTTCATGCCCCCACTACTTTACCACTGGGTAAAGAGTCCCCAGTACCCACTGGACAGGAGGCTAGGTCGGCCCTGAAGCGGGACTGGATGCCGTGGAGAATGGGAATGAGGGAACTGTTCTTTCTAATATGAGGAAGAAAGAGGGAGGCGGTTGGCAAAGCAACAAGGATGAAAAGAGGAAAGGATACATGAACCGAAGGAAATTATTTTGTCTGCCATTTTTGAGTGGTGATGTGTTGTTAGTAGCAATGTAACATGAAGAAAGTTTTATAGTGCTATCATGAAAATTTCAGGTGCCATGGTGACCTGCATGACAGAACCATGATCCCTTTTCAAACGCAGCTACGTGGTACACCAGTTTTGTGGCTAGTCAGTTAGTCCTTATGTGACAGAAATAAAAATGATGCATTGATGAAACTTACTTTGCAAGTCATCCAGGATAAGTAAGTTACCCAGACTTCGGGAATGAACAATCAGAATTTTCTGATATGGGGACTTCTCCTCATATAAAACTTTATCAATGTCATACTCCAATATACGTTCATCTGAAATTAAAACTTTCGCAGTTAGCAACAGTCCATAACATGTGTACAGAGAAGGCACAGAAAGTTAAAAGATGAAAAGAAAACAATATTACATGTAACAATGAAATGCCAAAGAGTATGTAACAGAAAAGGCCTAACACAGTCTTCAGAACCTTATGACAAATGTTAACATGTAACAACAATTTCAGCTATTGGTAAGTAAGGCCAGTGGCCGCACCATAGCTCAAGCGATTAGTCGCTGGCTTCTCACCGTCGTGGCCCGGGTTTGATCCTGGGTCTGGTCAAGTGGAATTTGTGGTGGATAAAGTGGCGCAGGGGCGGGTTTTCTCTGAGTACTTCGGTTCCCCTTGCCAATCTTCATTCCACCAAATTCTTCATCATCATGATCACCCGGGGCAGGTACAACAGGCCAATCAGTGGCTGCCATACCGAGTGGACCCAGTTGGACTCCACCCCCCACTAAGTGGAGGGGGGGCAGGAGACCAGCAATACATGGCCGGCCTTTTGCAGTTGAAGTGGACTACAATGTGTAGTTAACTTATGCTGCATGTTAACTACATTTTGCAGTTCTCATGACTGCAACTTTATTTGTCAGTGAAGCAATGGATTTTGAAGAAGCATTGTTGCTCCTCCTGTTGTGTAGGTGTAGGCAGGCTGTGCAGTCAAGGTCATGCAGACTGCAGTAGGAACAACCACACCTTAACAGTCGGTTCTCAGCATGGACCAATGGAAAATGAACTGCAGCCGTCAATCACGACCGCAAAATATGCTCGTGTGGTGTTCATTAAAATTTCCATGGTGTCAGCTGAATTGCTGAGGCACAATTGCAAGACAACTGCATGTGCAGTCCATTTCAACTGCAAAATGCCATCCACGTATTCTGGCCCTAACAGAAATTACACACTGCTGTGCACATATTCTAACAGAAGGTTCATAAAAATTACAAGATTCACCCTCAGGAAAACATACAGTCAGACTGGCACAGTAGCAAATAGGATCACTTAAGAAAACTTGTGACTGTCACAATTTTCAGCAGAGATGATGAGTAAGAAGGGTGGGCAATATGTTTGGTATAACCAATGCTTTTTTTTAAGCCAGTACAAATACCAGCAAACTTATCAAAAGTCATGAACCACATATCTGCCAATGCACTGTAGATCTAAACCTTGTGGGTAAACCTCAGCACAACAGTACCAGCAAACATGATATATGAAGAGAGAGAGGCACTAAATATAATCATATGCAACTATTATAGGATGATTTTGGCCTGTCTGAAGAAGATGAGTAATTTTGGTTCCTCAAGCAAGGAAGTGGAATCTTTTCAATTTGTATAGCAAATGCATACACAGTGTGTCCAGGTTCTCTTAGGATTGTGTTCATTAAAAATACAAGACATGAGTTATTTTCAAAATTTCACTCTTTTTATTCAAAATAGTCTCCTTTTGAATCAATACATAGCTGGAATCGATTGAAAAGTTTTCGAAAACAGTCAATGTACTCCTTTTGTGGAATCACATTTAAAACTGTGGTATATTCCCTTTGGATGTCCTGGATGGTGTCGTGATGGTCTCCTTTCATTGCCAACTTTTGGGAACAACCAGAAACCTGCTGGAGCCAAATCTGGCGAATATGGAGGATGATCAAGGACTGCGATCTTTTTTCTGGCCAAAAATCGCGCATGATCTTCAATTTGTTGGGTGGGGCATTGTCGTGAAGGAGCGACCAAGAACCTTGCTCTTGATATTCAGGTCAAATTCGGAGAATTCTCGCCCACAAACGATTGAGGACTCTGAGATAATATTCTGAATTCATTGTTTAACCTTCTGGCAGAAATTACTTGTGAATGATTCCTTTGGAATCGAAGAAAATGGTTAGCAGTGTTTTTATTCGACTCTTTTGCATTCGCACTTTCTTTGGGCTCTGTCGCTTTGTGAGAGGCTCATATTGATCACTTTGGGCTGACCGTAACATGTCTTTGCAGTGTTCCACTCTGGCATGTTTTTCATCGCCTGACAGCGCGTGCGGTACAAACTGCGCACAGACCTTCCGTTTGCCCAAATCCTTGGTCAAAATTTGATATACAGTACTTTTTGTATTCCCAAAAGCTCCTCGATGAATCTTGCAGAAACACATCTGTCGGATTCAAGGATTTCAGTCACTTTTTTCACATTTTCTTCAGCTTTGATGCATGTGGAGTGTCTTCAATGCCCCCCCTGCCATCACAAAATACAACATACCATCGAAAAATGTTCGAGTGACTCAATCACTACTGTACACACTTTTCATCATTTCGTATGCTCCTCCAGCTGTTTTGCCTAACTTCAAATAAAATTTGATGTTGGCTCTCCGTTCAACCACCATTCTCCGACAAGCATCAGAACAGTACTGTTACATTCAATGTCAGAATATATGATGCAGCAATGCTTGCGCTTGAAAGTATAGACAGCCACAGCTGAAATGTGAAGAATCTTAGCGTTACAACTTTCCAACATATGGCATTGCAGGGCAAAATTTAAAAAAATGAGTCCTAACGGATCCTGGACACATTGTGTACGATGGTTGTAGGCATTTCTGCAAAGAATTTACAATAATATAACAATTTTGTCTACTACTTACAGTTTTTATAAATTAAACTCAATGTGAACCACATTAAGAAGACCCTGTAATCCCAAATATCCTCCCAATTTTACAAGTATATTTATTCAGTACAGTTCCATCAATTTGAGTATCCATGTTATCAAGTGTAAGTAATGTAAAGTGGCAGAACATACTTAAAAAAGTACTCAACATTCAGAGTTAACAAGTTCATTCCACTTCTTCTAATTCTGAACTATACAAATTGTGTTACATCCCAATGAATCTACTCCATAATTTCATAATTTCTCAACAAATCTAAAATGAGTTCAATATTACACAGTACACAAACATAAATGAACAATCATAAAATATATATTAAATATAAAGAAATAAGTATCAACAGGAGACATAATTCATCATGCATCAACCAATACAAAAGAATCCACTCAGTACCATGGCAAGTCAGCCTCAAGCCAGGCAACTAAAACTCACCTGGCTGTATCATTCATCATGTTCCTCTTATGTGCATGGAGGTATTGCAAAAGAAATTCATTAGACACTCAAAAAGGAGGTTTACCAGATACCTAGGCAGGTTTAGTATATGACATCACATTAGGTTCAACTGAATTTATTTTAATTTCAAACCTGTCAGATGCAGTCCAACAGTGGAACTGGACTTCCTTAGCATCACGGGCATCTGACAAAGGAAATCCTTTGAGGTATACTTAGAGGGTAAGTGCATAACAAATCACCACAGCCATTTTAATTATATATTTATATAAAAATTTTAATTTTAAGATTATAGTAACTGTCCAACATTAGATAATCGAGCAACTTTCATGAGTGTCAGTGATTTAGATGGGAGGGACTGGAAGGATAACAGAAACATGCTCACCAGTGGTCAGCGACAACTTGGTATAAGTGAATGAATCACATTTAGAGTGATCCAGCAAAGGTAGATAAAACAGAAACCCACCTATGAGTGATTACCAATGACGGATGTTTAACAAGAACTCAACCATTAGATGGATGGTGATAAAATCTGCCCAGTATCACCTCTACAATCCAGAGCCAACAATATTCATCAATGAGAGTTTCAATAAAAATTCATGTGAGGACAATCACTGAATACCTAGGTTTAATGGAATCTGCCCATCAAATGGTCAGTGGTGTGCTACTATGGAATGGAGATGAAGAAATTCAGCCTACAACTGAAATATCCACAATACTCCGTGACAAAGAAATTTGAAGCCCAAATATCTGCCAGAAAGATAATGGTTGCAGTTTTCTTAGATAAATTTCCATAATTTTCATATCTCCAGGCATTTTAAGAACACTCAAAGGACAGTAAAATGTAGAAAGGCACAAATAATTTATTGGTTTTAACGTCAGGATTCTATAAGAAAAGCATTAAGTACTAGTATGTCATTCAATTGGATATCTCAATTCTTAGCTTGATTTCATGTGACTGGGCCGAATATGGTTTCAGTAATGACTCTTGGGTGGATTTCCATTGGAACTTCCTTCTACTAAAAACAGGAGTGTCTGTAAACTTTCCAGAAACATTTCATTAACAAGCAAGCCATTAACTTTTATTTACATAATTTCAGAGTGATGACATGTTATATTTGTTGATAATTATAAACAGAAATTAATTTCATTCTGGCAGAGGTATAAGTAATATATATTTTATATGAAAAGATAGGCTTATGATATAATGTCCATGTGTACACCCCCTGCCCCATAATAACTTCTAATAAAGAAACTGAAGGATTTTCATGAAAACTCAATTAGAACATCATGCCACTAGTCATGATCACTAGCACACCTATGAATTTTATATAAACAATTTTTATAAGTTTACAGTAAATGTGGTGGCAGTATGAGACTTTGAGATTCAATCAAATATATCAGTACGAGTGGAAATTTTGTACAGAAATGGAATTGTAAGTTCTATAGTGCAAGCAAACACCACATCAGACTGAAGCAGCATTTCAAGGAAAGTAGACAACATAAGCTTTATCCAGAACATTTTATTTTTAATCAGTATGAGGGCTATTCAGAAAGTAACCTCCAGTGTGGTGTTAACAAAACAAGCAATGAGAAAAACAAATTTTATTATATTGTGATGTGTTATTGTACACCCATCACCACGACAACCGCTACAATCAGAACGCACACTTCCACGGCAACAAATAGGTGGAAATTGTGGAGTTCCCACAGCGACAAATCATAGCAATGAATTGTTGTTGAGTAACAACGGGAAATATTGCACTCCTTAAGCAACAGATTGTCGAACCAGCAGGTAATGAGTCAGTCTTAAGAGAGCCGCCGTTGAAGGCAGTCTAGTACTCGCCAAGATATAAACTGTGACACTGCAAGTGATAATAACTGTAAAGTGTGTGAGTGTAGAAGTGAAACAC